TCACCGGCGCAGGGACAGCGCTGACCTCATGCGTCATCTGCCCGGAACTGCTTCCAGTGTACAACAGTTGGCGCAAGCTAGATTAAAGTAATTATTACGTTTTGAATATGGATATTTTTCTTACAAAAACGCATCAATTCGCTATAGGAGGCACTTGTTCCCCCTCCGGAGCCGTGTGAGACACTTTTTTTTTATGGATCGGCGCTTTTTATTTAACTTCTTTTGGACTGAAGCATGCAACACCCGCTGAGTGGCATTAAACAGCTTGAAAAATTAAAGACAATTTTAAAAATAACTCTGACTTGATTCGTCTGAAAAAAGAAAGTCATCTACACCTAGGATGACTTGAGGGTGACTAATTTATGGGCTAATTTTAAATTTTTTTTTCTTTAACACGCCCCCCCCCTTTTGCATATACTATTCATTTGATCGCAAGATGTGAAAGATCCCATGCATTTACCCACCAATTGACCCTCCCCTTGAAAAAATGACAGAAGTGGTCGAAAGTGGACAAAAGAGATGGTGATATGGAGACTGCCTATTTGTGATGCGATCAAACAAAACACATTTTAAACCCAGCTGTAAACAAGGCCTAAATCCGCTGCTCAGCTATTTTGAACTATATCAGTGGTGCTTCTGTGAACCTCAAGATTGTCTTGTTTCTGCAAGTCTTTCCACAGTGATGGCACAGCAAAGGCTTTTCTCTGGTGTTATTATAGGACTCATGTCACACTGATAACATAAATACAGTTCTCTCATATGTGAAAACTCATGTGGGACTTAAGGCCTGTTTTATATCTGAAACTCTTTCCACAGTGACCACATGTAAATGGCTTCTCTCCAGTGTGAATTCTCATGTGCCTGTTATGGCTTCCTTTTCGGTTGAAACTTCTTCCACACTGTTGGCAGGTGAAAGGCTTCTCTCCAGTGTGAATTCTTATGTGGTCTTCAAAGTGTCGCATATGATTGAAACTCTTTCCGCACTGAGGGCATGTGTAGGGAAAATTAGCCCATAAATTACTCACCCTCAAGTCATCCTAGGTGTATATGACTTTCTTCTTTCAGACGAATCCAGTCGGAGTTATATTAAAAACTTTAATCTTTCAAGCTGTTTAATGGCACTCAGCGGGTGTTGCATGCATCAGTTCAAAAGAAGTAAAATAAAAAGTGCCCATCCATAATAAAAAGTGTCTCACACGGCTCCAGGGGGTGAACAAAGGCCTTCTGAAGCGAATCGATGCGTTTTTGTAAAAAAAATATCCATATTCAAAACGTAATAATCACTTTAATGTAGCTTGCGCTCACTGTTGTACACGGACGCAGTTCCGGGCGGATGACGTATGAGTTCAGCTTTGTGCATGCGCCGCTCAGAAGTGACGAACGCGGAAGCGCAGCGGAGAGATAAAAACAAAACAATGGTCACTTATTAGAAGTACAAAAGGACTTGTAACTTGTAATGAGGATTTGTAAAGAAGAATGTCGGAGGATTTCGATATAAGCCAAGAGGAGACTGGTTTTCCTGTGCTAAAGTAAGGAACCTCTGCTCCTGTTAACAAACGTTGGTTTTCACGAGACTCACCGGCGCATGGACAGCGCTGACCTCATGCGTCATCTGCCCGGAACTGCTTCCAGTGTACAACAGTTGGCGCAAGCTAGATTAAAGTAATTATTACGTTTTGAATATGGATATTTTTCTTACAAAAACGCATCAATTCGCTATAGGAGGCACTTGTTCACCCTCCGGAGCCGTGTGAGACACTTTTTTTTTATGGATCGGCGCTTTTTATTTAACTTCTTTTGGACTGAAGCATGCAACACCCGCTGAGTGGCATTAAACAGCTTGAAAAATTAAAGACAATTTTAAAAATAACTCTGACTTGATTCGTCTGAAAAAAGAAAGTCATCTACACCTAGGATGACTTGAGGGTGACTAATTTATGGGCTAATTTTAAATTTTTTTTTCTTTAACACGCCCCCCCCCTTTTGCATATACTATTCATTTGATCGCAAGATGTGAAAGATCCCATGCATTTACCCACCAATTGACCCTCCCCTTGAAAAAATGACAGAAGTGGTCGAAAGTGGACAAAAGAGATGGTGATATGGAGACTGCCTATTTGTGATGCGATCAAACAAAACACATTTTAAACCCAGCTGTAAACAAGGCCTAAATCCGCTGCTCAGCTATTTTGAACTATATCAGTGGTGCTTCTGTGAACCTCAAGATTGTCTTGTTTCTGCAAGTCTTTCCACAGTGATGGCACAGCAAAGGCTTTTCTCTGGTGTTATTATAGGACTCATGTCACACTGATAACATAAATACAGTTCTCTCATATGTGAAAACTCATGTGGGACTTAAGGCCTGTTTTATATCTGAAACTCTTTCCACAGTGACCACATGTAAATGGCTTCTCTCCAGTGTGAATTCTCATGTGCCTGTTATGGCTTCCTTTTCGGTTGAAACTTCTTCCACACTGTTGGCAGGTGAAAGGCTTCTCTCCAGTGTGAATTCTTATGTGGTCTTCAAAGTGTCGCATATGATTGAAACTCTTTCCGCACTGAGGGCATGTGTAGGGTTGCTCTCCAGAGTGAATTCTCATGTGGTCTTCAAAGGGTCGTTTTTGACAGAAACTCTTTCCACACTCGGAGCATGTGTAGGGTTTCTCTATACGAGTTCTCATGTGGACTTCAAGGTTTTCATGTTGATCAAGAGAACAGGTGTAAGGCTGCTCTCCATAGTGAATTCTCATGTGTCTGTTAAGGCTTCCTTTTTGAGTGAAACTTGTTCCACACTGTTGGCAGGTGAAAAGGCTCTCTCCAGTGTGAACGGTCATGTGGCAATGAAGGTTACCTTTCCGGTTGAAACTTCTTCCACACTGTTGGCATTTGTAAGGCTTCTCTCCAGTGTGAACACTCATGTGGGCTCCAAGGTTTCCAAGCTGAGAGAAATTCTTTCCACACTGTTGGCATGCGAATGGCTTCTCTCCAGTGTGAATTCTAACATGTCTATTAAGACTTATTCTTTGACTGAAATGCTTTCCACACTGCTGGCAGACATAAGGCTTCTCTCTTGTGTGAATTCGCATGTGTCTTTTAATACTTTCTGTTTGACTGAAACTCTTTCCACACTGTTGGCAGGTGAAATAACAACTTCTTCCTGTCTTTTGAGCCCTCTTTCTTGAGGAAGTATTTTCAGTTTGTGAACAACTAAAAGATTTTTCTCCATTTATGAAATCATGATCTTTCTCTTCCATTTCATTCAGTACGTCGCTCTTCTCTTTCAGTGTCATCAGGTCTACGGTTAAAAAAGACAAATAAATGTTAACCCCAGTATAATAACACAGAACACATCAAAACATTCAAATATGTAAAGTGTCAAACCTAACATACAACTGCATCTTATATCCACTAAGCAACTGCAAGAGGTGTTGCATGTAATCTGAGGGGGAATTGCCCCCCCAATTTGTTAGTCATGGAATCCCTGATGTCGGCCGCTGCAATTGGAGCACTTAGCCATACCCTCACCGTGTTTTTGCAGCGTTGAGCAATGTAGCCAATCACAGATATCTGTTGATTTCTTGAACGCAATGACCAATCAGAAACGTTTTGTCAGAATTCACTCACTTTAAGTGCAGTTTTGCACGCTCGTGAATCATCAGACGCGATGTAAATAAGAGATTAATTGTGCAGTTTAGAGAGCTTCATTGATTATAACGGAACTTTGTAAGATTGCGATGAACGAAGATGAGTGACGCTTTTTAGCGATAAAGGGAGTGCGCTTTGCGCATTTTCTAGGGTATATAATCTATTCAGAATTTGTATGAAACTTTCATTTTTCGGACACATAGGCTACACCCTGCAAAGTTTCGGGAATGACATCCGCATATTTATGCGGGACTCATTCTCGAAATAGCAGTGATTGGCAATGGATGGAACATAAAATATGTAGATTTAATTCTGGAACCGGTCCTGGCCAAACCTCCACAGACAGCGTGCGTCTCGAATGAGATCTAATTCACGGACCAAAAGCGTGTGTAAACTTTATTGAGATCGGGACATATCAACCTGTAATATCATTTCATTTCCAGTAACGGACGGTAGAAAGTTCAGCAATGAATGGTATGCGATTTATGACAGAATATAGTCCCACAACTGATCCCAATCAGAAACGTTTTGTCAGAATTCACTCACCGCTGAAAGCGCCGCAGTTTTTAAGTGCAGTTTTGCACGCTCGTGAATCATCTCAAGATTAAGTGCAGACGAGATGTAAATAAGAGATTCATTGTGCCGTTTAGAGAGCTTCATTGATTATAACGGAACTTTGTGAGATCGCCATGAGCGAAGATGAGTGATGCTTTTTAGTGATAAAGGGAGTGCGCTTTGCGCTCTTTCTAGGGTATAGGCTAATCCATTCAGAATTTGTATGAAACTTTCGTTTTTCGGACACATAGGCTACACCCTGCAAAGTTTCGGGAATGACATCCGCATATTTATGCGGGACTCATTCTCGAAATAGCAGTGATTGGCAATGGATGGAACATAAAATATGTAGATTTAATTCTGGAACCGGTCCTGGCCAAACCTCCACAGACAGCGCGTCCCGAGCGAGATCTAATTCACTCTTTAAATGTTACATTTAATTAACTTAATTGTTGTGTTAATAATTAGTGCTGATGTAACATTTAAAGAGTGTTTCCTCTTTTAACTCAATTAACTCAAGAGTCAAATGTCACCCATGATTACTACTATGACTCTTTTTTTTCCAAAAGCGTGTGTAAACTTTATTCAGATCAGGACATATCAACCCGTAATTTAATTTAATTTCCAGTAACGGACGGTAGAAAGTTCAGCAATGAATGGTGTGCGATTTATGACAGAATATAGTCCCACAACTGATCGTTTATTTTTTTCCTCACGTGTCTCGCCTTTGGTAACAACGATTCAAAACGGA